CTTGCTAGTCAGGCTGTCTACTTCTGGAGCTGTCTATGACTGTCTACTATTGACTCAAGGTTTTTTATTTGCCTTATATTCATAGCTACTTAGCTCTTACCCCAAGTCTGTGTGTATGTGTGAATGTATGCCTGCGTGCAGGTTCTAGGGCTTGTACCTAGGGCTGGGCGGTGCCCCTGAGCTTGAATCACTGCTCCACTTCTAGCTTTTTGGTGGTTAATTGGAGATAACAGTCTCATAGACTTTGATGCCTAGACTGGGTTTTGAATTATCTCAGCTTCCTTAGTAGCTGTGAGCCGCTGGAACCTGACTTTTTTTTTGTCGGTCATGGGCCTTGAACTCTGGACCTGAGCGCTGTCCCTTAGCTCTTCAGCTCAAGACTAGCGCTTTACCACTTGAGCTACAGCACCACTTCTGGTTTTCTGGTGTTTTGGTTTTGTTTGTTTGTTTTTTTTGGGGGTCCGGTCATGGGGCCTGAACTCTGGGCCTGGGCGCTGTCCCTCAGCTCTTCAGCTCAAGGCTAGCACTCTACCACTTGAGCAACAGTGCCACTTCTGGCTTTTTTCTTTTTGCTTATATGTGGTGCTGAGGAATCGAACCTAGGGCCTCAGGCATGCAAGGCAAGTGCTCTACCACTTAGCCACCTTCCCAGCCCCTTTTCTGGTGGTTTATTGGAGATAAGAGTTTCAAGGACTTTCCTGCCCAGGCTGGCTTTGAACTGAGATCCTCAGATCTCAGCCTCCTGAGTAGCTAGGACTACAGATGTGAGCCACCGGCAACCGGCTGGAACCTGACTTTTATCTCAAGTCTTTGTTTCCTTTGTTGGGTTGAGGATATAGCTAGAACACTTGCCTAGCCTGCCTGAGGTTCTGGGTTAGATCCTCAGCACCAGAAAACAAAAGCAAAACGATGTCAGCTTTAATTGTAGTTTAATTCCTTCCTTTTGGTTCTCTCTTAACATAGCTTTATTTCCCTACATTTCAAAGTGTGGAAAGTGAGTTTTTGTTGTTGGTTGTGGTACTTGAACTGGGCCTGGGGGTACTATCCCTCAGCTCTTCAGTTCTAGGTGAGCACTCTACCACTTAATCCACAGCACCACTTCCAGTTTTCTGAGTGGTTTATTGGAGATAAGAGTCTCACAGAGTTTCCTGCCCAGGCTGGCCTTGAACCATGAATTAGGATTACAAGCAGAAAGTGAACTTTTTGGCAGTAACCTCGTAAAGTTTGCATCTTTAACATACGAGGGCTAAATGAATATGGGGGTAAATTCCTAGTTTTCTAAAAATAGCTTTAGTTTTATGTAAGAAAGAAACCACAGTATTTGTCTTTAATTTTTGAAAGAAAAACAAATAGCACCAGAGTTCTATCCACTAAAACACGACTGATTTATCTGGATGTTTTAGTGGTTGTCTTGGATATGAAATTTGTAGTCTTAGTACAAATGACAAAAACTACCATGGGCCATTTCCTCTAGCTCATGTGGGTACGATAGATTATCCCTGAGAGTTACTTGCTTGAGACAAGAAGAGCCTGCCATCGCAGGGAGGAAAGTATGAAGCAACATTTCATAAAGATAGCAGTACCTGCTGTTAATCTGCTTGAAAATACTGTAAATAAACTAAAAATTATAATAGTCTTGTACAGCCAGTACTAAACAGAGAATTTTGTGTTCCTTACAGTTCTTAGATATATTAGACAAGATAAAAATGTATCCCTCTCTCTCGGGCTGGGAAGGTGGCTCAGTGGTAGAGCGCTTGCCTTGCATGCCTGAGGCCCTGGGTTCGATTCCTCAGCACCACATAAGCAAGAAGAAAAATACCGGAAGTGGCGCTGTGGCTCAAGTGGTAGAGCGCTAGCCTTGAGCTGAAGAGCTGAGGGACAGCGCCCAGGCCCAGAGTTCAGGCCCCACTACCGGACAAAAAAAAAAATGTATCCCTCTCAAGTTGGACTCTGGTGGCTCATGCCTGTAATCCTAGCTCCTCAGGAGGCTGAGGATCATGGTTTGAAGCCTTGGCAGGAAAGTCCCTAAGACTATTATTTTTAATTAACTACCAAAAACCTGGAAGTGGAGCTGTGGCTCAAGTGGTAAAGTGTTAGCCTTGAACAACAACAAAAACAAGCCTGAGTTCAAGCCCTAGGATTGGCGCGCACATATACACACACACTCCCTCTTTTAATTTGGTTTTGTAGATAACCATTTATCCCCCCCCTCCCCTTTTTTTTTTTTTTGGTCAGTTGTGGGGTCTGAACTGTGGCCTGGGTGCTGTCCTTCAGCTCTTCAGCTCAAGGCTAGCGCTCTACCACTTGAGCCACCTTCTCAGCTTATTTTTTTAAAAACAGGCATAAGTCACACAGTGCACAGCTCTCAAGTCAATTATGTACTTTTTCATTAGAACTTCAAACACTTATAAACAAAATTACCTGAAAAATTATTTTGGGTATTTTATTTCCTAAAAATTAATTTACCAATGAGGTGGTCATCGTCGTCGTCGTTGTCGCTCTCCTTCTCCTCCTCCTCCTCCTCCTCCTCCTCCTCCTCCTCCTCCTCCTCCTCCTCCTCCTCCTCTTCTTCCTCTTCCTCTTTTTTTTTTTTTTTGTCGGTCGTGGGGCTTGAACTCTGGGCCTGGGCGCTGTCCCTCAGCTCTTCAGCTCAAGGCGAGCGCTCTACCACTTGAGCTACAGCGCCACTTCCGGTTTTCTGGTGGTTTATTGGAGATAGGAGTCTCACGGTCTCTCCTGCCCGGGCTGGCTTTGAACCACGATCCTCAGATCTCAGCCTCCTGAGTAGCTAGGATTATAGGCGTGAGCCACCAGCGCCCGGCCTTCCTCTTCCTCTTTCTCTCTTTCTTTTTCTCTTCCTCGCTGAACATCCTTAATGTGAGGGGGGTCAAGCATGAAATCCTAGCTACTTGGAAGGCTGGGATCAGGGAACAGTACGTAGTTTGAGGCTAGCCTGGCCATAAAAATAAAGCAAAAAGGGGTGAGGTGTGACTTATGTGGTAGAGTACTTGCTTAGCAAGCATAAGGCCCTGAGTTCAAACTTCATGCTGACAAAAAATAATTAGAAAAATCCAAAATTAGAAATGTTCAAAACATATGAAACTTTCTGAGCTTCAACATCACACTACTCTATTATACTACTATTAAACTTTCGTATGTAAAATTCATAAAAATACTGTACACAGTTACATGAATGTTAAGATACATATGAAATGTAAATGAATTTAATGTTCAGACTGAAGTCCCATTCCAGAGATATCACATGAAAATCCTAGTGTTTCTGCTCGTAAGCATTTCAAATAAAGGGCCATTCAGGCTGGAGTAAGAACAGTGTCAATAATATATTGAGTGCTTGGTGTATTCAAAACCCTATGGCAGTTGGGCGCCAGTGGCTTACATCTGTAATCTAGCTACTAAAGAGGCTGAGATCTGAGGACTACGGTTTAAACTCAGCCTGAGAGCAGGAAAGTCCTTGAGACTTTCCCCCCCTCCCCCAGTCCTGGGGCTTGAACTCAGGGCCTGAGCACTGTCCCTGAGCCTCGTTTGATCAAGGCTAGCACTCTACCACTTGAGCAACAGCACCAATTCCAGCTTTTCCTGTTTATATGGGACTGAGGAATCGAACCCAGGGATTGATGCATGTTAGGCAAGCATTCTACCACTAAGCCACATTCCCAGTTCTCCCTGAGACTCTTATCTCCAATAAGCCACCAGAAAACTGGAAGTGGCACTGTGGCTCAAGTGGTAGAACACTCGCCTTGAGCTGAAGACCTGAGGGACAGCCCCCAGGCCCAGAGTTCAAACCCCACAACTATATTTAGCCCTGTGGGATCAATACTGTTTTTATTATTTCTGTTTTACATCTGGGGCTGAGCCAAGATTTAAAACTAGATCTCTGGGGCTGGAGAGTTGGCTCAATGGTAGAGTGCTTGCCTCGCATGCATGAGACCCTGAGTTTGATTCCTCAATACCACATAAGCAGAAAAAAGCCTAAGTGGCCTGTGGCTCAAGTAAGTGGTAGGGCCCTAGCCTTGAGCTAAAGAGATGAGGGACAGTGTCCAGGCCCAGAGTTCAGCCCCCCCCCCCCAAACTGACAAAAATAAATAAATAAACAAAAAAAAACAGATCTCTGGATCTAGGTTTATAGCCATTGTTTTCTATTATTATCGTGTGAATTACATTCACTAGTTTTCTCTCCATGTCTTTCTGTTGTATATCTCTTCCATGTGTGCGCACATATGTACATATACACATGCATACATTGAGATAAGATCTTGCCATGTAGCCCAGGCTGGACTTGTTGGTCTTGGATATGTGCGTTCTCTTGCTGTTCAAGACCAGACCTCAGCTCTCACTGGGTCTTACTTCATTTGGAGAAAAAGTATTCACTTTACTCATGGAAAACAATATTTGAGCCAGATGCTGCTGGCTCATGTCAGTAATCCTAGCTACTCAGGAGTCTGAGATCTGAGGATCACAGTTTAAAGCCAGTCTCAGCAGAAAAGTCCATGAGATTCTTATCTCTAATGAAATACTCAGAAAAAGCAAGAAATGGCACTGTGGCTAGAACACAAGTCTTGAGTACAAAGAGACTCAGAGACAGTGCCCAGGCCCTGAATTCAAGCTCCAGGATCAGCCAAAAAACAAAACAAAAAACAATACTTGTCTTTTGGGTGACATATGTTGTTGAGGAGAGAGACAGAGAGACTGAGAGAGAGAGAGAGAGAGAGAGAGAGAGAGAGAGAGAGAGACAGCGAGAGCGAGCGCACTCTGATTTCAGCATTTTTTTTCACTTACAGCTATGTTCTGTTACTTCAGCGTTCTCAGGCCAGTGTTTTCTGTTGTGCCACCTCTGAAGATTGAAAATGATAGGTGGAGTCAATGAAACCTCAGTCTTAAAGCCGTCTGCTGTCACTAACCTTAAGAAGTTTTATATGTTACTCATTTTACTGTTCATGTTTGCACTCAAATTTGTGGGTTTTGTTTTTGCCCGTGTGTAGCAGCGATTCCAGCAGCAGTTCAAGTGATGACTCTCCAGCCCGATCCGTTCAGTCGGCAGCAGTCCCTGCACCCACTTCCCAGTTGCTTTCATCTCTCGAAAAAGATGAACCTCGTAAAAGTTTTGGGATCAAAGTTCAGAATCTGCCAGTACGCTCTACAGGTAAAATTTTATGTGACTTACACTTTCTTTTAGCTGCTATTGAGGAATGAGATAGACTTGTGGTGCTGTGGCTCAAGTGGTAGAATGCTAGAACAAAAGAATTTAGTCACTTTGGAAGCTATCAGCCCAGAAGTAATGTTTTAACAAAACTTAGAATAAATACCAAGGGAGAGTTGGGCGCTGATGGCTCTTGCTTGTAAATTCAAGCTGTTCATTCAGGAGGTTGAGATCTGAGGATGGTGGTTTGAAGCTAGCCCAGGCAGGAAAGTTTGTGAGACTCTTATCTTTAATAAACTACTCTGAAAAAGCCAGAAGTAGTGCTGTGGCTCAACTGGTAGAACACGAGGCTTGACCAAAAAGGAGCTCAGAGACAGTGTTCAGGCCCAGAGTTCAAGCTCCAGGAATGCCAGAAACCAAACACCAGGCCAGAGATTTAGTTGCATATTTATTAAGTTGTATTACACTGGAAAAACTAACTTGTCTTTGGGAATTTAGATACAAGCCTTAAAGATGGCCTTTTCCATGAATTTAAGAAGTTTGGCAAGGTGACTTCAGTACAGATACATGGAACTTCAGAAGAGAGGTATGGACTGGTATTCTTTCGGCAGCAAGAGGACCAAGAAAAAGCACTAACTGCATCAAAGGGAAAGCTTTTCTTTGGAATGCAGATTGAAGTAACTGCATGGATAGGGCCAGGTAAGAGACAAGTTGAATTCCAATTACAATTTTTGTCTGCTTATGAGAGTATAGCATTTTTATCCTGAGTATAGACACTTTGCTAGCTCTACTCATTGACATAATTCTATATCTTTGTTTTTAAAGAGTAGTATATTTATTGTTCACTTTAATAAAAAACATTATTGTGTTGGATGGGAAGGGTAGTAATTTTTCTGTTTCTATAATAGAAAAATGCTGACCTTTGTGAGTCTAAAGGTGGTACTTTAGAGGCTGGGAAGGTGGCTTAGTGGTTGAGTGCTTGCCTCCCATGCATGAGGCCCTGGGTTCCATTCCTCAGCACCACATAAGCAGAAGAAGCGGGAAGGGGTACTGTCTTTCTAGTGGTAGAGCGCTAGCCTTGAGTTGAAGAGCTGAGGGACAGCGCCCAGGCCCAGAATCCAGGCCCCATGACCACCACCACCAACAAAAAGGTGGTACTTAAGACCAGTTTTGGAAGCAGCTTCCTAGAAGGGTTGAATTTGATTTATTTAGAATGACAGTAGAATCACCTTGAGTTAGGAAGCAGGTTACATGCTAATCTGTTGTGAGGGATTCATTAGATAATTTTATTTCCATTATTACCAGCACAGATTGGATCCATTATTCTAGGTGATAGACCAGAAATATATTTCCAATATAGTTGGATCTATTATTGTAGGTGACACCGATATTTCTAGATGATCTTAAAATATAAGTAACAGAAGCTGGATTAAGTCTTACAGATAGGGCCCATTGAGAATTTTAAGGAATATTTTACTAGGTTGAAGCTGTAAGACTTAATATAAGAAGTCTGAGACTCTGACCCTATATGAGCTAATGAAGTCAAAATTCAAAACATCCATTTGAGAGTATCTGATTTAAAGTGACATGTAAGTAAATTAATACAGATATTAAAATTCTGAAGACACCTTGTGAATCTGATACAACCCTTTTTCTTTTCTTTTTCCTTTTATTTCTTTTTCTTTCTTTCTTTCTTTCTTTCTTTTTTTTTTTTTTTTTTTGGTGCCAGTCCTGGGACTTGAACTTGGGGCCTGTTAGTTGTCTCTGAGCTCTTTTGAACTCAAGGCTAGCCACAGGTCCACTTCTGGCTTCAAACTCAGGCAGAATAGTTCATGAGACTCCTTCTTGCTTGACTGTCACCACAGGTGTGATTTAAAAAAAAAAAAAAACAACAAAAAACAAAACCATACCTGTACCTGGACAGAAATTGATACCCTTATCTCAAAAATGACCAGTAGAGCTGGGTACTGGTGGCTAATGCTTGTATTTCTAGCAACTCAGGAGGCTGAGATCTGTGAATCCCTGGTTCAAAGCCAACTGGGGCAGGAAAAGTCTGTGAGACTCTTATCGTCAGTTAACCAGTAAAAAGTCGGAAGTAGAACTGTGGCTCGAGTGATAAGAGTGCTAGCCTTGGCATGGGAGTTGCTCAGGAATAGCACTCAGGTGCAGAACTAGCACGCACACATAAAATAATTGGTAGAAAAAAGGGCTGGAGGCATGACTCAGTGGTTGAATTACTCCCTACTAAGTATGAGGCCCTGAGTTCAAACTCCAGTATTGCAAAATAAATAAATCAGTCAAAATCAATAAAACTAAATGGGTAAGTATCATCTTCAGGCTAGGGTGTGGTTTAAATAGATAACAGTGTTTCTCTAGGAAATGAAAGGCCTTGAGTTCAAGTTTAACACATTGAAATGTTATTCAATTTCAAGTTTATTTTCTTTAAAAAATTTTAATTAGCATATATTAGTTATACAAGGGGGCTTTCATTATGATATACATACCTACAATCAATATGGAACCTGGGTATTGAACTCAGGGCCTCATGCTTGCTAGGCAAGTATGTTACCATTTGAGCCACCCTCAGACCCTTAAGTCCATTTTCTATGTTGAAATCTAAGCAAATTCAATTCAACCTTACTTTTTTGTAGTAGGTTTCTTCAGCCTTTGTTTTCCTATTTCTCAGTTAATAAGGAAGCCATTGTGCTAATGGTGTTTACAGTTTTTCAGTTTGTGGAAGTGTTTGTTTAATCCCATTCTTTCTGAGCTCATGTTTTTGTTTTTGTTTTTTGGTCCGGTCGTGGGGCCTGAACTTCGGGCCTGGGCACTGTCCCTCAGCTCTTCAGCTCAAGGCTAGCACTCTACCACTTGAGCCACAGCTCCACTTCTGCTTTTTTCTTCTTATGTGGTGCTAAGGAATAGAACCCAGGGCCTCAAGCATGCAAGGCAAGCGCTCTACCACTGAGCCACCTTCCCAGCCCCTCACTCACTCTCTGAATCCAAGTTAGTGTGCTTGTGTGCTCTCTCTCACTTGTTCTCTCTCCCTCCGCCCCTCCCTCTCCCTCTCTTTTTCTCTCTCCCTCTCCCTCTTTCCTCTTCTATCTTCTATCTACTCTAGACAAGGTCTTGCAGTGTAGCCTAGGCTGACCTTTTGGCCTTGGGTACTGGGATTATAGTTGTGTATACCATCACACCTGGTATGAGTTTGTAAGCAGATTTTACATATATGTAAGTATACCTTGCAGTTCCCTTCTCTGTTTACTCTTCCCCATGCCACTTGCAGAAACAGAAAGTGAAAATGAATTTCGCCCTTTGGATGAAAGGATAGATGAGTTTCACCCCAAAGCAACAAGGACTTTGTTCATTGGCAACCTTGAGAAGACCACCACGTACCATGACCTTCGCAACATCTTCCAGCGCTTTGGAGAAATCGTGGTATGTTGCTTTGATAACACAATTCTAAGTCTTTTTTCATGAAATATAAAGCATAAGAAAGACATTTATTGCTGTAATAAATATTTTTCTCATTTGCTTTTTTTTGGTGCCAGTCCTGAAACTGACCCTGGGCTTTCCACACTCTGCTTGAGTGAAAAATGCCAAGGACTGGTGCTCAGGCCTTGAGTTCAAGCCTTAGGATGTACATATGTGTGTACATGTACACACACACACAAACACATGCATGCTACTGCTTGGGTAGTGTCCCTGAGCTGCTGCTGCTGCTGCTTTGTTGTTGTCGTCTGTTGAGGGAGCTGTCGCTGAGCTCTTTTGCTCAAGGCTAGTGTCCTACCACTGCTCACACTTGCAGTTTTTGAGTGTTTACTTGGAGATGAGTCTCATGGATTTTTTTTTCCTGCCTGGGCTGGCTTTGAACTGTGATTCTCAGCTCTCAGCCTCTTGAGTAGCTAGGATTACAGGTTCATGAGCCACCTGTGCCCGGCTAAGATTTCATGTTTTAACCCATGGTTTAAAAACATTTCTTATTTCTTTATTGGTAACATTTTTCTCAGTATGTCTTAAAAGATCTTAATTCCTAAAGGGATTTTTTTTTTTTTTTTTTGCCTGTTCAGGAGCTTGTACTCAGTGCCTTGACACTATCCCTGAGTTTGTACTCAGGGCTGGGCATTATCCCTGTTTGCCCAAGACTAGCACTGTACCACTTGAGCCACAGCTTCAGGCTAGTACTCTTCCATCACTGACTTCTAGCTTTTTTAGTAGATTATTGGAGATAAGATTCTCACAGATGGGCTGGGAAGGTGGCTCAGTGGTAGAGCTCTTGCCTTGCATGCTCGAGGCCCTGGGTTCAATTCCTCAGCACCACATAAGCAAAAAGAAAAAAGCCAGAAGTGGCGCTGTGGCTCAAGTGGTAGAGCGCTAGCCTTGAGCTGAAGAGCTGAGGGACAGTGCCCAGGCCCAGAGTTCAGGCCCCACGACCGGACCAAAAAAAAAAAAAAAAGATTCTCACAGACTTTCCCGTCTGGGGTGGTTTGAACCATGATCCTTAGATCTCAGCTTCCCGAGTAGCTAGCATTATAGGAGTGAGCCAGTGGCACTCAGCTCCTAATAAAGGTTACTGAAGGGAATTATTAGGATTTTTACTAATTGACTATGACTAATTTTCCCTTCCTTCCTTCCTTCCTTCCTTCCTTCCTTCCTTCCTTCCTTCCTTCCTTCCTTCCTTCCTTCCTTCCTTCCTTCCTTCCTTCCTTCCTTCCTTCCTTCCTTCCTTCCTTCCCCTCCTCTCTTTTTTTTTTTTTTTGGTCAGTCGTGGGGCTTGAACTCTGGGCCTGGACACTGTCCCTGCACTCTTCAGCTCAAGGCGAGCACTCTACCACTTGAGCCACAGCACCACTTCTGATTTTCTAGTGGTTTATTGGAGATAAGAATCTCATGGACTTTGCTGCCCGGGCTGGCTTTGAACCATGATCCTCATATCTCAGCTTCCTGAGTAGCTAGGATTACAGGTGTGAGCCACTGGTGCCGGGCTTGACTCTCTTTCTTAATTACCATAAATTCTCTGTAATTCTGGTATCATGGATTTAAGCTTGTAATTTTGAGTTGTAGTGCAGTTGCTCTTCTGCAGAAAGCTTTAGGTGGGATGGGTTTCATGGTTTGTGAACTAAGTGGTTATGGGGAACATAACTCTTTGGAGAAATAGGTACTCTGTATAGACGAGTTATTCTGGTTTTTTTCTTGTTAGCTTATTACTAAGTGGTATTGATGCACTTTTTTAAAGGATATTGATATTAAGAAAGTAAATGGAGTACCTCAGTATGCGTTCTTGCAATACTGCGATATCGCCAGTGTTTGCAAAGCTATTAAGAAGATGGATGGAGAATACCTTGGAAATAATCGCCTCAAGGTAAATGTATTTTTATGGTGCTGTTAAGATTTGCTTTGTTTTTAAGATCTGGAGATTTTGTGCCTTATCTGAATTTTTAAGGGTTAATAGTTTTAGATAACCACAAAGGAGACGCACTTCCTTGCATTTCATACCATCAGACTAGTGCGACTGATACATTCTTAGGCAGGCAGGTGGCACTCTTGTTTCGTTTTAGTCAGGTTGTTCTCACTTAAGATGTTGATTTGGGGAGTTTAGGGTGTGGCTCAGTAATACTGTTTATTAGCATATGTGAGGCTCTGGGTACACACACACACACACAGAGCTCAGTAGTACTGTGCATGTGTGAGGCTCTGGGTATAGACATACACATTGGTAATTGATAAGATAGTTGAATAGTAATTGTAAGTCTACTAATAGATTTCTCTTTTTATATTCAGCTGGGTTTTGGAAAGAGCATGCCTACAAACTGTGTATGGCTAGATGGGCTTTCTTCAAATGTGTCAGATCAGTATTTAACACGACATTTCTGCCGATATGGGCCTGTGGTGAAGGTAGGTGGGGGGAGGCTGTTATTTGCTCTGACTCCCTTGGTGTTCTTTCCTTTCAGTCACAGTTTCTAGTGCTGCCTTTTTCCTTCCATTCAGTAACTTGTGTCATATTTTGTCCATTCAGGCATTTGTGTCTGAGACTGGATTTAGAAAAGTATTTTGAAGGACTGGAAGTACTCCTCTGTGATAGTGTTTGCCTAGCATGCACAAAACCTTGAGTTCAGTCCACGGCACTGTAGAAAGGAAACCGGAGGCGGGAAAGGAGGAAACTGTTTTGAACTAGCTGAGACTTTTGAAATTTATGAAACTGCTCCAAAGTTAAATAAAATGTTTTTTAGAGTTGTGTCCCCATCCCTATCCCCGTCCCCCCCTTTGTCTCCCCCGCCCCCCCTTTCTAAGGTGGTGTCCTTTGAGCTTTTTTGCGCTACCACTTGAGCTTCAGCTCCACAGCTGGTGTTTTGGTAGTTAATTGGAGATAATGAGTCTTATGGACCCAACTGCCTAAGCTGACTTTGAATGATATCTCAGCCTTCTGAGTAACTAGGATTACAGGCATGAGTCACTCGCACCCATCTACATACTTAACTTCCCTCCCTCCCTCCCTCCCTCCCTCTCTCCCTCCCTCTCTCCCTCTCTCCCTCTCTCCCTCTCTCCCTCTCTCCCTCCCACCCTCCCTCCCTTCCTTCCTTCCTTCCTTCTTTCCTTCCTTCCTTCCTTCCTTCCTTTTTCTTTTTTCTTTTTCTGTCAGTTGTGGGGCCTGAACTCTGGGCATGGGTGCTGTCCCTCAGCTCTTCAGCTCAAGGCTAGTACTCTACCACTTGAGCTACAGTGTCACTTCCGGCCTTTTCTGCTTATGTGGTGTTGAGGAATCAAACCCAGGGCCTCATGCATGCAAGGCATGAGGCATGAGCCACCTTCCCAGCCCTTCCTCCTTTTTTAAGCAGGATCTTGCCATATATTTAATGAAATTGGCTGGCCTATAACTAAGCTCTAGGAACTTGCAAAAGCTCCCGAGTGATGAGATTAAAGGCATGAGCTACAGTGGCTTTTTAATTTTTTTTTATTTTTTGGTCAGTTGTGAGGCTTGATCTCTGGGCCTGGGCACTGTCCTTGAGCTCTTCAGCTCAGGGTGAGCACTCCACCACTTGAGTCACAGCACCAATTGAGTTTTCTGGTAGTTTATTGGAGATAGAGTCTCACAGACTTTCCTGCCCAGGCTGGATTTGAACCACTATCCTCAGATCTCAGCCTCCTGAGTAGCTAGGATTACAGGCATGAGCCACCAGCGCCTGACTGTTGTTGTTGTTTTTAATCGGTCATGGGGCTTTTGAACTCTGCGCTTGGGCACTGTCCCTCAGCTCTTCAGCTCAAGGCGAGCGCTCTACCACTTGAGCCACAGTGCCACTTCTGGTAGTAGTAGTTTATTGGAGATAAGAGTCTCACAGACTTTCCTGCCCGGGCTGACTTTGAACCACAATCCTCAGATCTCAGCCTCTTGAGTAACTAGGATTACAGGTGTGAGCCACTGGCGCATGGCTTTTTTTTTTTTAAAGTGAAAAGAAGAAAATAGTCCAGTGGCAATGGCATGTCTGTAATCCTAGCTACTGAGGACACTGAGGTCTGAAGATCCCTGTTCTAAGTCAGTCTGGGCATACAGATCTGTGTGTCTCTTACCTCTTATCTCCAGTTATAACCAGCAATACAAATGGAGGCTCAAGTTAAATGTGTCTTAGGTGGTAGAGAACAGCCTTGAGAGAAAAAGCTAAACAAGAGTGCAAAGGTCTTGAGTCAATCCTCCCAGTGTAAGCACATACAAGGAAGAAAAGAAAAACAATTTACTTAAAGTACAATAGTCAGTCAATATGGAAATCAAAGTAAAATAGGAAAAAATAAAGGTATAACATAGCTCAAGTCACAATATTCATGATTTGAAGTGGTTACATTTTATTTTGTGTTTCATCAGGAAAAGCCTGGAAATGTGTTGGGCAAAATGTACATAATGAATTTTCTTGGCAGCATTCTTGGGACTTAGTGTATCATTGGGGCTGACACTAAGCCCAGTGGATGAGGATCTTTACTGGTTTTTGTTTTTTTACAGGTGGTATTTGACCGCTTAAAAGGCATGGCCCTGGTTCTCTACAATGAGATTGAGTATGCACAAGCAGCTGTAAAAGAGACCAAGGGGAGGAAAATCGGTGGGAATAAGATTAAGGTATGCAGAATGATTTTAAGTAAATGCAAAAAAAATTATCTTCAAACATCACTCCATTAATAACTGGAATTTGTAGGCTGCCAGTGAAGAATGATTTATAGAACATGACTTACATGTCCTTAGTTTTAGGAGGATATTGAGATTTTTGTGTTTGGCAGTAGGCACAGGTACTTTTCATAATGTTCTCTAGTTCAAACAAGCATCTTCTCCCTCCCTTGGAAACCTGACTTAGTGCAAGCCCACCTATAGGTTCTATCTCTGAGTATCTGCACACCAGGGGTATGGCGTCAGTGGTCAGCTTCTCTAAGGACCTGTCTTCCTCTTTACTTCTCAAGAGTGGGAAGACATTATAAGCACTATATGCTTAGTTTGTTTTGCTTACATGATAGTTAAGGTTGGAGGGAATCCATATTCTTTTTTTTTTTTTTTTTTTTTGGTCTGGTCATGGGGCCTGAATTCTGGGCCTGGGTGATGTCCCTCAGCTCTTCAGCTGAAGGCTAGCACTCTACCACTTAAGCAATAGCGTCACTTCCGGCTTTTTTCTTTTTGCTTATGTGGTGCTGAGGAATCAAACCCAGGGCCTCATGCATGCAAGGCAAGTGCTCTACTACTGAGCCACCTTCCCAGCCCCATGGACTCAATACTCTTAATAACTGATAGATTGAAATAAAATGGTAAAGATACTGTTAGATAAATAGGTACCATATGCTTTAGTGACTGAGGTCTGCCTGTTTGAATAAAGTTTAAACGTTCTCCCTTTTTCTCTTGGAATTGTTCTCTCAATTTTGTGTGTGTGTGTGTGTGTGTGTATATATATATATATATATCAGTTGTGGGCCTTGAACTCTGGGCCTGAGCGCTGTCCCTCAGCTCTTCAGCTCAAGGCTAGCGCTCTACCACTTGAGTTACAGCGCCACTTCCGGTTTTCTGGTGGTTTATTGGAGATAAGAGTTTCACAGACTTTTCCTTTTCCTGCCTGAACTGGCTTTGAGCAGAGATCCTCAGATTTCAGCCTCCTGAGTAGCTAGGATTACAGATGTGAGCCACCAGTGCCTGGCTTCATTTTTTTTTTTTTTTTTTTTTTTTTGGTTGGTTGCGGGGCTTGAACTCTGGGCTTGGGCGCTGTCCCTGCGCTCTTCAACTCAAGGTGAGCGTTCTACCGCTTGAGCTACAGCGCCACTTCTCCCGGCTTCAATTTTGTGTATAATACAGATCACTTGACTTAACGGATGCAGTTATTTAATTGCCTATCAAGAATCCTGACATTTGTTTCCGTTTTCCATTTTACTTTTTATTTTCTTTCTTTTTGTGCCCATCCTGGGGCTTGAATTCAGGATGATGTCCCTGAGGTTTTTTTGTTTTGTTTTGTTTTTTTCCCTCAAGGCTAGCACTCTGCTGCTTGAGTGACAGCTTCGTTTCTGGCTTTTTGCTGGTTGATTGGAGATAACAGTCTTACAGACTTTCCTGCCCAGCTGGCTTTGAACCTCTACCTTCAGATTTCAGCCTCCTTAATAGCTAGGATTACAGGTGTGAGTTACTAGTGTTCAATATTTTTTTTAAGTAGTACTGGGGTTTGAACTCAAGACCTGGAGCTTGCAAGGCTGGTTCTCTACCACCTGAGCCATGCCTGTACCCTTCTGTTTTTTTGTTATTTATTTTTATTACTACTGCTATTATTTCTTTTTGAGAAAAGATTTAAAAAAATGTAAAAAGGCCAGTGCTAGTGGCTCATACCTATAATCCTAGCTACTCAGAAGTCTAAGATCTGAACGTCTGCAGTTTGAAGCCAGCCCAGTCAGGAATGTCTATGAGACTCTTAACTTCCAATAAACTACTAATTGAGCTGTGGCTGAAGTGGTAGAGCACTAACCTTGAGTAGAAAAGCTCAGGAACAGTACCCAAGCCCTGAGTTCAAACCAAGGACCAGCACCAAAAAAAAAAAATTAATTAAAATAAAAAGCCAACTCTGGCCTTGAACTTATTATTCTCCTGTTCCAGCCTCCAGAAAGCTGATGTTAACCTGACCTTCCTAGTCTTTGGATGGTGCTCTTAAATTACATTTGTCAGGATTTCTGTACAATTTGAAACATTTAAAGTTAACAAAATTTAGTTTCTGTTAGTGTTTCATTTGAAGTAAATTGCTGTTTTCTGAGTGTTCAACAGGGATATAATGTGAAAAATTTTCAAGTTTGATAATTCTTTTTCATAATTAAAATCTGAAATTTAGGTTACCTATTTCTTTCTTTTTTTTTTTTTGAGGTTGATTTTGCGAATCGGGAAAGTCAGCTGGCATTTTATCACTGCATGGAGAAGTCAGGCCAAGATATCAGAGACTTTTATGAAATGTTAACAGAAAGAAGGTATTGTTACTTCATTGTGTATTAATTGTTTCCAGTACTGGGAATCAACCCAGTGCCTTGTGCATGCTAGACTAGCACTGTACCTATAAGCTACATCCCCAACCTAAGAAGATAATAAATTTTAAACACAGGTTTAATTTTGTGAATGCAGTTTTCATGTGGCTTGCAAGAGTGTTAGGATACTGTTTTGATTTCTCATTGAATTCTCCTATAACTTGAAAGTGTTACTGTTTTGTCAGAGTTAGGTTCCATTAATTTCCAGGACAATTCAGTGGTTCTTTTATTTATCCCTGTCCAATGGCCTTTAGCTCCTAAAGCGAGGGGGGTAAAATTTGTTAGGGCAGTGTCACTATACAGGGGCTTAAACTCAAGTCTGTCTGGAGTTCTACCACTTGAACCACACATCTACTTCTGGCTTTTTGCTAGTTAATTGGGGATAAGGAGTGTTGTGGAATTTTCTGCCCTGAGTAGTTTTGAATTGTGATCACACGTCTCATCCTCCTGAGTAGCTATGATTACAGGTATGAACCACTGGCACTCAACTTTCTGTTTCAATTGTTGAGATTTAATTTCCAAAATTCTTTATAAAAATGGACTAGCCAAACTTCAGTGCTCAGAGCTACATGGGGTTAGGAGCGGAGAGCTGGTACAGTTTAACAAGTGATTAATTGACACCAGAGTTTAAAACATAGAACTCTCTGATCTCACACATCTAACGCTAGGTATAATCTGTCTTTGGCAGAGAGGAACGAAGGGGATCCTATGACTATAACCAAGATCGGACGTATTACGAGAGTGTTCGGACTCCAGGTACATATCCCGAGGACTCCCGGAGGGACTACCCAGCCCGAGGAAGAGAATTTTATTCAGAGTGGGAAACATACCAAGGAGACTACTATGAGTCCCGCTACTACGATGATCCTCGAGAATACAGGGATTACAGAAGCGATCCCTATGAACAGGACATTCGGGAATATAGTTACAGGCAAAGAGAACGAGAGAGAGAGCGTGAAAGATTTGACTCTGAGCGGGACAGAGACCATGAGAGAAGGCCCATTGAGCGAAGTCAGAGTCCTGTGCACTTGCGACATCCACAGAGTCCTGGAGTATCTCCCTCGCAGTCAGAGAGGTTGCCGAGTGACTCAGAGAGGAGGCTGTATAGCCGGTCCTCAGAGCGGAGTGGCAGCTGCAGCTCACTCTCCCCCCCACGGTACGATAAACTGGACAAGTCTCGTTTGGAGCGCTATACAAAAAGTGAAAAGACAGATAAAGAACGAATTTTCGATCCTGAGAGAATGGAAAGAGAGAGGCGCTTAACACGGAAGGAGAAAGTGGAAAAGGACAAACCTGACAAACAGAGACGAAAAGGAAAACTTCATTCCCCTAGTTCTCAGTCTTCAGAAACTGACCAGGAGAATGAGCGCGAACAGAGCCCTGAGAAGTCAAGGAGTTCTAGTAAACTGAGCAGAGAGAAAACTGACAAAGAAGGAGTGGGGAAAAACCGCCTGGAGCTCATGCCTTGTGTGGTTTTGACTCGAGTAAAAGAGAAAGAAGGGAAGGTCATTGACCACACTCCACTGGAAAAGCTGAAAGCCAGGCTTGATACCGACTCCGCCAAGTCTTCTGTCCTGGACCAGAAAGTTCAGGCCTCCCAGACAGAGCCTGCAAAATCTGACTCTAAAGCAGAACCTGCTAGAGGAAAAGTGGTGAGGGAAAAGGTGCTTAGCCACATGGAGGTAGCAGATAAGGAAGGCAGGCCTAAGCCCAGGAAGCCTCTCAGGCCAGAGCAGACCCCTGAGGGCCTGAGTGCTGTGGACCTGGAGAAGCTGGAAGCCAGGAAAAGGCGATTTGCAGATTCCAGTTTGAAAGCAGAAAGGCAAAAACCAGAAGTCAAGAAAAGCAGTCCTGACATGGAAGATGCTCGTGTACTTTTAAAAAAGCAAGCTGACTTGTCATCGAGAGATGTCATCCTGCTGCGGGAGGGGGAGTCTGAAAGGAAGCCTGGGCGAAAAGAAATTCTTAAAAGAGAATCTAAAAAAATCAAACTGGACAGACTTAACACCGCTCCCAGCCCTAAAGACTGTCAGGAGCTTGCTAGTGTCTCTGTTGGGTCTGGCTCAAGGCCTAGCTCAGACCTGCAAGCAAGACTGGGAGAACCAGGGGGTGAATCTGTGGAAAATCAAGAATCTCAGTCAAAAAAAGTCACCCCCTCCAAACCACAGCTCAAACAGCTGCAGCTCTCAGATGATCAGGGACCGGAGAGAGAGGATGGCAGGAAAAACTGTTGCAGTCTTCGTGAAGAAACATCTGAACGCAAACCAGGCCAAGAGAAACCACATGTGGTAAATACTGAAGAAAAAATTGGCATTGACATTGATCACACACAGAGTTACCGCAAACAAATGGAGCAGAGTCGTAGAAAACAGCAGATGGAAATGGAAATGGCCAAGTCTGAAAAGTTCGGCAGTCCTAAAAAAGACATTGACGAATATGAAAAGCGTAGCCTTGTTCACGAGGTGGGCAAACCCCCTCAGGATGTCACCGATGACTCACCCCCCAGCAAAAAGAAAAGGATGGATCATGTTGATTTTGATATATGCACCAAAAGAGAGAGGAATTACAGAAGTTCACGCCAAGTCAGTGAGGATTCTGAAAGGACTGGCTGCTCTCCCAGCCTCCGCCATAGTTCCTTCCACGAAGATGATGACCCCCTCAGCTCTCCTAGGCCTACAGCAGTAAAAGGGTCTCCTAAAGCAGATGAAAAAGGTCTCCCCTATTCTAATGTAACAGTGAGAGAAGAGTCCTTAAAATTTAATCCTTATGACTCTAGCCGGAGAGAACAGATGGCAGACATGGCCAGAATAAAGCTGTCTGTCTTGAATTCTGAAGATGAGTTAAATCGTTGGGACTCTCAAATGAAACAAGATGCCAGCAGATTTGATGTGAGCTTCCCAAACAGCATCATTAAGAGAGATAGCCTGCGAAAGAGATGTGTGCGTGATCTGGAGCCTGGGGAGGTGCCTTCTGATTCGGACGAAGATGGTGAGCACAAATCCCACTCGCCCCGGGCTTCTGCAGTGTATGAGAATTCCCGGTTGTCTTTTTTATTGAGAGACAGAGAAGACAAACCACGTGATCGGGAAGAAAGACTTTCTGGTTCTTTAGAAAGGAACAAATTTTATTCTTTTGCACTGGATAAGACAATCACACCAGACACTAAAGCTTTGCTTGAACGAGCGAAATCTCTCTCTTCATCCCGAGAAGAGAATTGGTCTTTTCTGGACTGGGACTCCCGATTTGCTAATTTTCGAAACAACAAAGATAAAGAAAAGGTTGACTCTGCTCCAAGGCCTATTCCATCTTGGTACATGAAAAAGAAAAAGATCAGGACTGACTCAGAAGGGAAAATGGATGATAAAAAAGATGATCATAAGGAGGAGGAGCAGGAAAGACAGGAACTGTTTGCCTCTCGTTTTTTACACAGCTCCATCTTTGAACAGGACTCCAAGCGGCTGCAGCATTTAGAGAGGAAGGATGAAGACTCCGACCTCCCTCCTGGGAGGTCCTATGGGAGGCAGGTATCTGACGGACCACACACCACAAGCGAGTCAGTTCAGGAACCGGTCGTTCTCTTCCACAGCAAATTCATGGAGCTCACAAGAATGCAACAGAAAGAAAAAGAAAAAGACCAAAAACCCAAAGAGGTTGAGAAGCAGGACAATACAGAGAACCATCCCAAGACCCCAGAATCTGCTGTGGAGAACAAAGAGTCGGAGCTGAAAACCCTACTCCCAGCCAGGCTTCCCAGTGTCCCAGCTGTAACTGCAGAAACAGCATCATCCATGCCAGAGAAGACCAGTGAGCGGGTAGCCGAGGCATCTCCAGTGCCTCTGGAAGAGAAGCCTGTGGAACCAGCTGCTGTTCCCGAAGAGATAAAACCAGGAGCTGAGCTGGCACCTGTTTCTGGGGAACAGCTTGAACAAGTAGATGTGCCCCCACGAGCAGACAGTGGCCACGAGGCTCCCGTGGCACCTCTCACTGTGGAAGATACCTCACCTATGGACCCCCCACCAAGTATGGACGCCAAGCCTCCCACTCCAGGGCCCTCACTTTCCCAGGTGGAAAGCAATATGGATCCAGAGCCTGAGAGTCCCCAACTGCCTTCCAAACTGAGCCAGAAGACTGAGGACGCTGAAGAGCCAAAAGCAGAAAGGCTAGACATAGCTTCGAGCATTGACCCTGGAATCAATCAGAAGGCTGAAGTTGCTCCCGAGGCTCAGCCTCAAGCTTCTGAGGATGCAGAGATTGATCCTCCCACTGCTGCAAAAGATAAGAAGCCAAACAAAAGTAAGCGCTCCAAGACGCCAGTTCAGGCAACTGCAGCAAGCATCGTGGAGAAGCCAGTCACGAGGAAGAGTGAGAGGATTGACCGGGAAAAGCTAAAACGGTCCAGTTCTCCGCGGGGAGAAGCACAGAAGCTTCTAGAACTGAAGATGGAGGCAGAGAAGATTACAAGGACTGCTTCTAAACACTCTTCTGGGGACACGGAGCACCCTGAACCAAGTCTTCCAGTCAGCCGAACGAGGCGTCGGAATGTCAGGAGTGTTTATGCAACTATGAGTGACCACGAAAGCCGCTCTCCAGCCAAAGAGCCCACAGAGCAGCTGAGAGTGACCAGGAAGAGATTAGAGAGAGAGCTTCAGGAGGCTGCTGTAGTTCCCGCCACCCCTCGGAGAGGACGACCTCCAAAAACACGCCGGCGAGCCGAAGAGGACGATGAAGCTGAGACTAAAGAGCCTGCAGAAACACCCAGACCAGCTGAGGGGTGGAGGTCCCCGCGGGCTCAGAAAGCAGCAGCTGGTGGCCATCAAGGGAAAAGGGGGAGAAATGAGCCTAAAGTTGAAGCAGAGCGAGCAGAGGCTGCTGCTGAGGCGCGGCACCAGGTAAACGTGAAAGAGGGCAACACCAGATCCAAGGGGGATAAAGAGGAAGCAGGAAGTGACCCGAAACGAGACCGAAAGGAAATGGTCACCAACAAACATGTGCCTGACTTTGAAGCCATGGAAAAAAGGCCAGTCCCCGAAAAAAACTCCAAATCAAAGAGAGGAAGATCTCGAAATGCACGCAGTGCGGTGGACAGAGCTGCGCATCTGAGAAGTGTGGCAGTGGCCGCCAGTCCCAGTGTGGCCCTTGCAGGGGGGCCAGGGCAGGCAGTGGACAGGGAAGCTGGGATTGTGGCAGTCTCCCCCGAGAAAAGCGAGAGTCCCCAAAAGGAGAGTTGTTCCTCATCCCAGTTGAAAACCACTCCAGTGGATCCCGACAGGGAGTCGGGGAGAGAGGATCTGTCTGCCCCCCGGCTGTCTGCAGAGGTGGCTCAGTTGGCCAAGCAGATGGAGCTGGAACGGATGGAGTTGGAGCGGGCTGTGGAGAATATCGCAAAGCTTGCTGACACGGCCCCCCGTGGCACTTACAAGGCAGCAGCTATGGGAGCTGTGGGTCCTACTACGGAGGACAGGGACAAACCCGCCCCTCAGGCCAGTGAAACAGAACTGGCTGCGGCCATTGGTTCCATCATCAGTGACATCAGTGACTCCCCTGCCCCGCCCCCTTTCCCTGCGGACTCTCAGACAGATCTGCAGTCCCCAGGGGAAGCCACAGAGCCTGAGACCCACCAGGCCGTGTCTGGAATCGTAGAAGCTGCTTTGGAGTCTTCTAGACCTGCAGTCAGTGCCCCTGTCCCCTCAGCAGGTGCCAAGGAGGCTGGGGGAGATGGCAGTGACACCTCTCGCCTGCCCCGGCAGGCCAGAGGGTCCAGGGAAGGAGCAGTCGCTCTTGTCCGCAAAGACAAAGGGCGCCAAAAGACTACAAGGTCCCGCCGTAGACGGAATACAAATAAGAAGGCCAGCGCTGCAGCCGAGCCTCCCAGCGCTGCAGCCGACCCCCCTGCCACCGTAGAGACAGAGACTGACCAGGCTCAAGGCGAGAGCCCCACTGTGAATGAGGAGACCACGATCCAACCCCCAGACTCACTGCAGGAAGACACACAGACTGAAAAGCCCCAAACTACCCCTCCTCAGGCCTGTGCTTCTGACCCGACCAAGACTCCACCCACAGAGGGTTTGCCTGAAGACAGCAATGCTGAAGAGAAGACGCCCTCCAAAGTGCCCACATCCCCGGCCCTCCCCTCCCTGTCCCAGCCAGCGCTGGCTGATGACGAGGCCCAGGCCAGGTTCAAGGTACATTCAATCATTGAAAGTGACCCTGTGACCCCACCCAGTGATTCGAGTCTACCCCTGCCCATACTTCCTCCTGTGACTGTAGCTAAGCTTGCTGCCCCTGTCCCCTCCGGGGCTGTCCCACACCAGAGCCCCCCAACGAAGCTAACAGAGTGGATCACAAGGCAGGAGGAGCCGCGGCCTCAGTCCACCCCGTCTCCAGCTCTTCCCCCGGACACAAAGGCCTCTGATGTGGATACCAGCTCCAGTACGCTGAGGAAGATCCTTATGGACCCTAAATACGTGTCTGCCACAGGCATCACGTCCACCAGCGTCACCACAGCTATCCCGGAGCCTGTGAGCGCCGCCCCTGCGCTGCACACGGCACTGCCCCCTCCAGTGGAAGCCAAGAAGCCTCCCTTAGAAGAAAGCCCCGTGGTTCCAGCCACGCAAGCCGCCGACACGCAGGCCTTGCAGCTCCCCGTGACCTCGGACAAGGAGAAGGTGGCTCCAGTCATCGCCCCCAAAATCACATCTGTTATTAGCCGGATGCCTGTCAGCATTGATTTGGAGAACTCACAGAAGATAACTTTGGCAAAACCAGCACCTCAGACCCTGACAGGCCTGGTGAGTGCCCTGACGGGCCTGGTCAATGTCTCCCTGGTCCCTGTGAACGCCCTCAAGGGCCCTGTGAAGGGCTCGGTGGCCACGCTGAAGGGGCTGGTGAGCACCCCTGCGGGGCCCGTGAATGTCCTCAAGGGGCCCGTGAACGTCCTCACCGGGCCTGTGAACGTCCTCACCACGCCGGTGAATGCCACGGTGGGCGCGGTGAACACTGCCGCGGGGGCAGCGACAGTCACAGCCGCCACGGTTGCCTCTGGGGGCGTGACTGCCGCAACGGGCACGACGACTGTGACCACCGTGACGACCATGACAGGCGCCGCCGCCGCCGCCGCCGCCACCCCGGTGGCGAAAAGCAAGCAGAGGTCAGGCAGCAGCGAGAACAACCGCTTCCACCCCGGGGCCATGTCTGTGATCGATGACCGGCCCGCTGACACGGGCTCCGGCCCGGGGCTGCGTGTGAACACTTCGGAAGGGGTTGTGTTGCTGAGTTACTCTGGGCAGAAGACTGAGGGCCCACAGAGAATCAGCGCCAAGATCAGCCAGATCCCTGCAGCCAGTGCCGTGGATATTGAATTCCAGCAGTCCGTGTCCAAGTCCCAGGCGAAGGCCGATTGCGTCACGCCTTCGCAGCCCACGCCCAAAGGCCCTCAGGCCCCTTCTGGCTTTGCCAACGTGGCCACCCATTCCACCCTGGTGTTGACGGCGCAGACCTACAACGCGTCTCCTGTCATTTCATCCGTGAAGGCCGACCGTCCGACCCTGGAGAAGCCCGAGCCCATTCACCTCTCTGTGTCCACGCCCGTTACCCAGGGTGGCACAGTGAAGGTTCTCACGCAGGGCATCAACACGTCCCCGGTGCTGGTGCACAACCAACTGGTCCTCACCCCAAGCATAGTCACCGCCAACAAGAAGCTCGCTGACCCTGTCACTCTCAAGATAGAGACCAAGGTCCTTCAGCCAGCTAACCTGGGCTCCACACTCGCCCCCCACCATCCCCCAGCTCTGCCCAGCAAGCTCCCGACGGAAGTGAACCATGTCACCTCAGGACCTAGCACCCCGGCAGAGCGGGCGGTCTCCCACTTGGCAGCCACCAAGCCAGAGGCCCACTCTCCTCGACCCAGCGGGCCCACGCCGTCCTTCCCGAGGGCATGCCACCCCAGCAGCACCGCGTCCACCGCGCTCTCCACCAACGCCACGGTCATGCTGGCTGCAGGAATCCCCGTGCCTCAGTTTATCTCCAGTATCCACCCTGAGCAGTCCGTCATCATGCCACCCCACAGTATCACCCAGACCGTGTCCCTTGGCCACTTGTCCCAGGGCGAGGTGAGAATGAACACACCCACATTGCCTAGCATCACCTACAGCATCCGCCCAGAGACCCTTCACCCTCCTCGGGCCCCCCTGCAGCCCCAGCAGATAGAGGTCAGGGCCCCGCCCCGGGCTGGCACACCCCAGCCGGCCCCTGCCAGCGTTCCCGCCCTGGCCTCCCAACACCCGCCTGAGGAGGAGGTGCACTACCTCCCCGTCGCCCGAGCCGCAGCCCCCGTGCAGTCCGAGGTGCTGGTCATGCAGTCTGAGTACCGCCTGCACCCATACACCGTGCCCCGCGACGTGAGGATCATGGTGCACCCACACGTGACTGCGGTCAGCGAGCAGCCCAGGGCCACCGAGGGCGTGGTGAAGGTGCCCCCTGCCAGCAAGGCCCCCCAGCAGCCAGCCAAGGAAGCTGCCAAGACATCAGATGCCAAAGCAGCCCCGGCCCCCACCTCAGCTCCTCATGGCGAGGCCCGCATCCTCACCGTCACCCCCAGCAACCAGCTCCAGGGGCTGCCTCTCACCCCACCGGTGGTTGTGACCCATGGGGTGCAGATCGTGCACTCCAGCGGAGAGCTCTTCCAAGAATACCGGTACGGCGACATCCGCACCTACCATGCTCCAGCCCAGCTCTCCCACACCCAGTTTCCCGTGGCCTCCTCCATCGGCCTGCCCTCCCGGACCAAGACTCCGGCCCAGGTGAGCCCAGGCAGTCTCAACTTGCTCTGTGCGTGCACTCGGGCATCCCCCATGGCATTGAGGTGGAGATACCAGGAAGTCAAGATGGTGGGCGAGGTGCGGGCGAGCCACACAGGCCCTCCAAAGGGGCTTCCTATCCACAGTGGTGGTCGCGTGTGAGAGGGTCAGATCGTGACAGAGCGAGCTTTGGCTGTGGGGAGGAGCTTCGTGGGAGTGCCTGGCCCGGTGGATCCTGCCTGTGGAGTCAAGAGGGAGGTAGTAGGCAAGCAGTTGGCCAGAAGCCACGCTGCTGGCTCATGCTCGCTCCCTCCCGGGCACACAGAGGAGCCTTTTCCCGGGTCCCGGGGGGGTTTGGTTGGGTTGGTGGCAGGGCTTGTGTGTAGCTGACACTGACTGTCCCTCTCTGCCTTCCCACCTCTAGGGACCCCCGGAAGGTGAGCCCTTGCAATCCATACCTTCCGCACAGCCTGCCTCACCCATGTCATCAGCACAGCCTGTCCCGCCTATGCCCTCCTGCCAGCCCTTGCCACTCAGCCAGCCTGGCCAGCCACCCAGCAGCAAGAAGCCGCAGGTCTCCCAGGAGGCAAAGGGGACCCAGACTGGAGGAGCAGAGCAGCCTCGCCTCCCGGCTGTCCCTGCAAGCAGGCCTTCAGAGCCCCATGCTCAGCTTCAGCGGGCACAGGCGGAAACAGGCCCGGCGTCTCACCCTTCCCCTGTGTCGGTCACCATGAAGCCTGACCTCCCGGCCCTGCCCCCTCAGGCTGCCCCAAAGCAGCCGTTGTTTATCCCCACAACTTCAGGCCCCAGCACCCCACCAGGACTGGCTCTGCCGCACACTGAAACCCAGTCAGCCCCTACCCAAGATTCTTCTCCGCACCTAACTTCCCAGAGACCTGTGGACATGGTCCAGCTTCTGAAGGTAAGTGTGGCTGCCGCTGCCCTACCACCCCTAGTCTGCAGCCTGGGTCCGGCCCTGTCCAGTGTGGCCACCGGCTCACTTGTGCGCTCTTTTCCCTTGAGCAGAAGTATCCCATTGTGTGGCAGGGCTTGCTGGCCCTCAAGAACGACACAGCTGCTGTGCAGCTCCACTTTGTCTCTGGCAACAACGTCCTGGCCCATCGCTCGCTGCCCCTCTCTGAAGGAGGCCCCCCGCTGAGGATTGCCCAGAGGATGCGGCTGGAGGCATCACAGCTAGAAGGGGTTGCTCGAAGGATGACAGTAAGACGCCGGGCCCCAGGGAAACACTACTCCCTTCTCCTCCCCACTGCCACCCTGTCTCCTGACATTCTCCAAGTGGATAATAACAGACATTTCTCTACCGTGGGGGTGGGGGTGGGGGTGAGATAACTTGGAGACGCCAAGCAAGGCCATTTGCTTTGAACAATTAGGGTGAGCTTATGACACCATATCCTATAGATGAAGGGTGCGGTGGACTTGACACTGGGTTGGACATGTGCTCCTGTTTGGCTAGGAGACCCCTGACCACTGGCCTCTGTCCCAGGTGGAGACAGATTACTGTCTACTGCTAGCGCTGCCCTGTGGTCGTGACCAAGAGGACGTGGTGAGCCAGACAGAGTCCCTCAAGGCTGCCTTCATCACCTACCTGCAAGCCAAGCAGGCAGCGGGGATCATCAACGTTCCCAACCCTGGCTCCAATCAGGTTGGTCCTCTGGGCCTGTGGCCCCTCACCCCAGGTGTGTGTTCAGAAGGAGGGGTGGTCTTGGCCTGCCAGGCTAAGCTCTCAGGAGGCGAGGGAGGGGCCTGTGCCTGAGAGAAGCCAGAGAACTGACAGGACTGTCCTGAGCTTGCTGCGGAAGTGATGGCAGGAGCCTGGTGCCTGGGAATAAGATTGCAGGCACCGGCTGGGTTCCGCCTGTGGGGGTGATCCAGGGTGGGCAGCTGGTCTGGCTCGCCCTGGTGCTCTGCCTCTCTAGGACTTGTCAGACCCACGTGGAGTTGGGGAGGGTGATGTGAAGGCCAAGAGTCCCACTCTTTTCTCCTTCTCCAGCCTGCTTACGTGCTGCAGATCTTCCCACCCTGTGAGTTCTCTGAGAGTCACCTGTCCCGCCTGGCTCCTGACCTCCTTGCCAGCATCTCCAACATCTCCCCCCACCTGATGATTGTCATCGCTTCCGTGTGAGGCATCGAGTGGTCATCACCCGAGGTATCTTCCCGAGGCCCTGCTGCAGAAAATGCACCCAACACCGGACAGGACAGCCCAGCAGGCGAGGGGAAGCTGCTGATGGGGACAGACTGCTGCCCGGCGCCAGCTTCCTGCACTCGCCCACCACTCAGCTCCAAGGGACAGACCTCTGGGCGGAGGTGCTGCTACTTTGTATGTTTACACGACACTTTCACCCAGGACAGACCACCGATGGATGGACAGACTTGCAAACTCCTAGGGGCTGGGTTTCTGTCTCCTCTTTTGGGAGAAAAGGAACAGAGCAATGGAACGAATTTTTTTTTTTTTTTTTTTTGTTTTGGGCTTTTTGGGTTTTTTTTTTTTTTTTTTTTTTTTTTTAAGAAACAAGAGAACTGCCTTTGCACTAAATTAGTGACTTGGATTTTTTTGCACAGTGAAGATAGGCTGTGACACTGGACACTTGGTGTACATGAACACACATCACGGACTTCTAATGCTGGAACCTTGGGGGTCAAGGAACATTTCATTGGGATTTTTTTGCCCCACCTCTTCCCCTCCCTGCTCATTGGATGTGTCACCTTTCCTAATTCTCCTGCCGCCACCACCTTTGACTCACGAGGATGTACAGTTTACAATCAAACGAGCAAACAGAAGGATTTCCTTTCTTGGTGGGACATGCAGAACTTGGGGGTGTGTATATATAAATATATAATATATATAAATATATATAATACTGACTTAAAAATCAATTTCCCCGACATACATTTTTTTTAATCTGTGCCAAAAATGTGTTTTCAAAGAAAATCTTATTTTCATACTCAGACTTTGTACCGTCACTCATTGTCTCAGTGCGCTTCGCCGCAGCCCGGGTCTTCCTGCCACGTGGAAGTGTCTGTCACCCAGCATCTGTACAGGACCGGCCAGTCCCTCCTCCTGCGACCCGGACCGCCCCCAGACCTCCTAACACTATTAATTTATGAAACTGTTTTCCTCAGCGCAGTTTTGTTTTGTGTGTCCATTGGATTACAAACTTTATTAAAAAATACAAAACACCTCAAGTGTGAATGAGTGTGATCGTGGCCGGAGTGGGAACAGCAGGGTCCCTGGCTTAAAATAGAAACATAGCCCTCACCCAGCTTTGCTTTCTTTGCCCTGCCCCAAATCTGTAAACAGGGGCCTCCTCCCCAAGGAGCATTTTACCAATACACGAGGATTTTGTCATGAGTGCTGAACTCAGGAAATATTTTTCATTGTAGCAGCATGGGTACCGGTGATATTTCTGTCCTTGCTGGTCCCCAGGCAATGTGGAAGGCACTTCAGGCAGGTCTCAATACAGAAACACATGCACACACCCAGCAAACTCAGAGCCTAAGGGTTCCCTTCCTTTGTCTGCTAGTAGGGTGCCGGTGGTTCCCATGTAGACAGGAGGGTGGAGGGGGCTCGGTCTAGGTTCCCTTGCAGTTCAGTTGTGAAACCAGGATTCAGGAACATCACTACGCTTAGCGGGGCAAAAACAGGCCTGCACACTTTTACCTGTGAAAGAAGGGTCCCAGCTGCTAGGACAAGCTGTGGGGAGGAGGTAGAGGCAGGAACTCCAGGCTTGGGGGGGGAAGGGGGGTCGGGGAACAGCCTTGCTTACTATGAGCCCACCAAAAACTCCACTTTGCTCCTCTGGTCCCTCCAGGACAGCCTGGTGATGGGTTCAGAACCCACCAGGGCAAGTAAATGCTTCTGAAAGACTACTGGCAGCACCTGAGCTGGCTCACATCCGTAATCTCATCTACTTAGGAAGCTGACAGGTGAAGACAGTGGTTCTAAGCCAAGCTGGGTAGAAAAGTCTTGTGAGACTCTTGTCCAATTTACTGAAAAGCTCTTGTGGTAGAGCATTAGCCTTGAATGAAAAAGCTAAGGGAGCTTGTGAGGCCCTGAGTTCAAGTCCCATTTTGGGCACATGTACGTACACTTACATGCGCACACACACGGCATTGGCTTGGCCTCTGCTCCAGCAAGGGTGGCTGGTGAACTAAGCACAAAGCTGCAACACTGCTCCGGGTGGCGTGTTGGGCTTGGGCCTGGCATAAACCCAGAAGTGACCAAAGAGGGTAAAGCCACTGAGACCTTGAGGCTGGGTTCTTGGAGCAGCCAGCAGCAGGCAGCAGGGAGGGGTGCAGGTTACAACACTGCTCTGAGGAGAGCACAGGCTTGGGGTACTGGGACTAGGTTCTTCCCACACCCCAACCTGGGCCACATTTGGATCCCGGGGCCCCAGTCCCATTCTGCAGGAGGAACAGACAGCAGGGCTTCCCTAGGTTGGCTCCAGGGTGGTGCAGCCCTTCTGTGGCTCCGGCCGGCAACCCTCCCACCCCCCACAGGGACCTAAAAGCAGCATTAGAAAATAATCAAATTTATTCTCTAGGGAAGGGGGGGCGGGGCACCCATCTCAGTTCGAGGGGGCCATCCATCCTTAAATAAACTCAGAAGGGCTACCGGCTCACTCAGCAGGTGGTGGGCATTCAGAAGCTGCAGGTGGGGTCTCTGCCAGTGCGGGCTGGCTCTCGGCCCCATCCCGAGGGCGGAAGACCAGGTCCCCAGCCTGCAACACCTGCCCGGCCGGCCAGGTGCTGCCTGGCCCGTACTGCTGGTAGAAGTCCGCATCGGTCTGGAACATGACCAGTGCCTGGGCCGTGTGGATCCGAACATGCTGAGCCAGGCTGTTGGCATCCAGAAATTTGTCCCCACAGGAGTCACAGGCATAGAGGATGTGGGTGTTGGGGTCTGTGGAGGCGAGGCTGCAGTAAGTGTGGGAAAGGCTCTGGGTCCACCAGCGTCCGCACCCTGGGTGCCCTTCTCACCTTCCTCCTGCACTTGCTTCACCGCCTTGCTGATCTCCGCTTTAAGTACTTCCGTCTCGTCAGCCGTCACTGCAGCCCCCACTGGCACCACTGAGGGCAGAGTCAGCAGGGCCTGAGGCAGCAGCCACGGGCAGGCACGCCCACCCGCCCACCGCTGCACCTGCGGTCCGCCGCCTCGGCCCCCCTCCTGCCAGCAGCCCACACCTGTGAGCTGAGTGACGGCGGTTGCGGCCAGTGCCTCCGTGGCCAGCGTGACCATGTCATCCACAGTGACCACGCTGACCTCGCCACCCTCTTCTGGCTCCAGGATTTTGATGCCCGCCTTGCCCTGGTGCACCGTCTTCACATGGGAGCGCAGGTTGTCCACGCGGTTGAACCCTCGGCCGCACTTGTCACAGAGGTAAGGCTTCTCTCCTGCCTCGGGGAGGGGCATTGGGGGGGCTGTGGGAGGCCTCTAACCTGCACAGCCCCAGCGCCCCAGCTTTCCCGCAAAATAGCAGGGCAGACACCAGGGCAGCCAGATGCTCCTGAAGCTCAGAGGCCCTGGCCTGGTCTGAAGCCAACTGCTCCCAAGGGTCCTGTGACGAAGGGCCAGCACCTAATGCTCACCAGTGTGGATGATGATGTGCTTGGACAGGTCTCCCACGTTCACAAAGGCCTTGCTGCACACGCTGCATTTGTGCGGGCGGATGTTGTCATGATGCCGGATGTGATTGGCCAACTGGCTGGACTGGACAAATCTGCAAGACAAGGGTTCACGCTGGTTGGCCTAGTGGGGAGCAGGGCCTGGGCCCCTGGCGCCAGGGTTAGGGGAGCAGGGTAGGGAGCACCTCTTGCCGCAGCGCTCGCAGACGTAGGGCTTCTCCCCTGTGTGCTGACGCACGTGGGCAATGAGAGAGCTGGCCTGGGTGAAGGCCTTGCCACAGATGACGCACTGGCACGGCTTCTCTCCTGGGGAGGAGCAGGGGAGTGCGTTGGCGCCCGCCTCTGCCCCTCTCGCTCGCTCCCCCCCTTGTCTCTGGCCACCCACCCGTGTGGATCCGGACATGCCGCTGCAGCGCGCCGGGGTCTGCGAACTGCCGCTGGCAGTGGATGCACACATACGGCTTCTCCCCGCTGTGGATCCGCAGGTGCCGCTTGAGGTTCCCTGTGGCCAGGCGAGAATGAGGGTGTGGTGGGGGCGAGGGCGTGGCAAGGGTGGTGAGAACTCGGGTGAGGGCTGGCTGGGGGAGAGGGAGGGCGAGGTGAGGGAGAATGGTTGAGTCTGTACGGGTGTGTAGAGGGAAGGATGTGGGGGGGGGGCTGCGGTGTGGTGGGGGCGGGGCGTGGAGAGAATGATGAGCGTTCTGGTGGGAGCCGGAGCAGACCAGAGCAGACCAGAGCGAGGTAAGGTGAGGGTGGAGGCGTGGGGATCGTGCAGGTAGGACGAGGGGTAGGAGCGGGGCCTACCTGAGGTGGTGAACTGCTTCCCGCACTCCCGGCACTTGAGGGGCCCGTCGGCGATGTGGATCTTCAGGTGTGCTTTGAGGTTCCCCACCTGCGCCAGGTAGGGGCTCAGAAGGCCCCACGGAGCGTGGCCTTGGACTCCCGGCCCCTCCCACCGATGATGCCAATCGGGAATGGGGCCGGGCGCCACCTCTGCCCGGGACCATCCACGGCCCTCCCCCCTTGCCCCGCCCCCGGCTGCCAAGGCCTGGCCTGCAGGCCTCGGGGAGGCACGGACACGAGCGCACCCCCGCACCTGGTTGAACTTCTTGTCGCAGTGCGGGCACTTGTGCTCCTTGTCCGTGTCGTGCGTTTCCAGGTGGCGCATCTTGGACGTGGGGTCGGAGAAGGAGCGGCCGCAGTAGTCGCACTGGTACGGCTTCTCCCCGCTGTGCACCAGCTGGTGGCGCTTGAGGTTGCCGGACGTGGTGAAGAGCTTGCCGCAGTCGCCGCAGCGGTAGCGGGCCTCGCCCGAGTGCCGCTTCTTGTGCAGGTTCAGCAGGCTGATGAGCCGGTAGCTCTTGCCGCACTCCTCGCAGCCGTAGGGCTTCAGGGGGCTGCGGGGACGAGGGCGGCAGGGGCTTGCGGGTGGGCGGCGGCAGGGGGGCCCGGGGCGGGGCCGGCGCCGGCCTACCTGTGCGTCTTCTCGTGCGCCTTGCAGGCGGCGGGGTCCGAGAAGGCCTTGCTGCACTCGCGGCAGGAGAAGGGCTTCTCGCCGGTGTGGATGCGGATGTGCCGCTTGAAGTTGCCGGTGTGCGTGAACTCCTTCCCGCAGTCCTGCGGGGCGAGGGCGCGTGAGGGGTGGCGGGGCCGGGGGGGAGGGGGCGCCGCCCGCCCCCGGCCCGCACCTCGCACTTGTGGATGACGGAGCCGTAGGCCTTGGACTCCGTGCGGTCCCCGTAGGTGCCCGAGCGCAGGCTCCGGGGCTCGGCGCCCAGCTCCTGCCCCGAGTCCGTGCCCGCCGAGCCCTCGGTGTCCTCCGGGCCCTCGCCCTCGCCGTTCTCCAGCGGCGGCCGCGCTCCCTGCAGCTGCACCGCGCCGGGCGCGGGCCCCTCCTCCGCGCGCTCTTCCCCTTTGCTGGCCGGCTCCACCTCCATTTCTACAAGACAGGGGCACAGCACCCCTGGGGCCGGCCCGGCCTGCGGCTCCTCTCCCAGCAGGGAGACCAGGGACACCCCTGCTTGGGGCCGGCCGGGGCTGGGCACAGGACTCCCTCGGTGGGTGCACAGCACGGGGCTGTGCGGGAACCCGGCCCCGGGGTTTAACCTCGACACTGAATTCAAGACTGACGCCTACTGAGGCCGGGGGCAGCGCTGCAGGGGCCGGCGGAGGGGGGGGGGGGGCTGGCCAGGAAGGGGGCACCTTGCTCAGAGCTCTCCGACAAGGCGGCCTCAGCTTCTGCGGCCGCCATGCTGCTCGTGGGGCCGGGCTTGAGCTCCACAGGACGGGGTCCCCGGGGGACATCGGCCTTCTCCGTCTGCTCCGCACCTGGAGGGGCACCAGACGCTGCATGGACCCGGTGTCCAGCTAGTGCACACCGCACATCAAATGATGGGTCTGTCGGTAGCTGTGAATTGCTAAGTGGAGGGGCCCATGCCACCTCGTGCCTTGCGGGCCCTCCTTCCCAGGCCTGACCTCCTGGCACAACTCACCGCTGGCTGCACTCTTGGCCTGGCCACCCCGCTCCTCTTTGGGCTCCCTGCCTAGGCCTGTGGGCACACTGCTCCTCGCTTGGTCCAGCCTGCTCAGTGCAGCGGCTGCGGCTTTCTCCTCTTTGGCTCTCTTATCTGCTCCTGGAGATGGAACAGGACAGACCTGCCATTGCCCATCACGCCCACTGCGTGGGGGGGGATGGGGTATATGTGTGGGGTGGCCCAGAACCTTCTAGCTCTTCTGGGTCCTCCTGGGCCTACATCTAAGAAGTAGTTTGTTTTGTTTCCATGCCCACTGTCGCTGGCCCTGGGAATTCAGCCATGGCAGCTCATGCTTCTGTGGGGCTGAAGAGCAGCCGGGGACAGAGACAGACTCACAGGGGCCACAGGGGCACTGACAGGGGTCAGTGCCTGGAAGGGAGGCCATGGTCCTCTGAAGGGGCACTGGTGTGGCCCGTGGCCCACACAGGCATCTGAGGGCATTCCTCAGATGTCAAGGGGAGGAAGGAAGCTCGGGGAAGACAGTCTGGGAGGGTTTAGGAGTTAGTCCTGCCACGTGCTCTGGCAGTGACTCAGGCATGGCTCCCATCTTCTGCTGCCCAGAGTTGGAAAAGGGGCAGGACCAAGGACCCTTCCAAATTGTGACTGTGGCATTCTTCACTATCACCCCAAGGCAAAGACAGGGCAGGAAACTAAGACCCAGGGAGGTGACCTGGAGGCAGAATTAGGGCACCATCAAAAGCCAGGTTTCAGACTGAGCTCAGCTCAAGTGGTAGAGGGCCTGCCTAGCAAGCACAAGACCCTGAGTTCAAACCCCAGCACTGCGAAAATATGCAAATAAGGGGCTGGGAAGGTGGCTCAGTGGTAGAGCGCTTGCCTTGCATGCCTGAGGCCCTGGGTTCGATTCCTCAGCACCACATAAGCAAAAAGAAAAAAGCAGGAAGTGGCGTTGTGGCTCAAGTGGTAGAGCGCTAGCCTTGAGCTGAAGAGCTGAGGGACAGTGCCTAGGCCCAGAGTTCAGGCCCCACGACCTGACCCCCCCCCACCCCCCCAAAAAATGTAAATAACTAGGAAGCTAGGTTCCTGGGCCACCTCTCAGGAACAGCCTGCCAGTAATTTTACCTTCCATGGCTGAAGACTCTGCATTTTCCCCATGGCTGCTGGCTGGCTCGGTGAGTGACTTGAGTGCATGGCAGGCTGTGATGATGTCCTGCATCTGGAGGAAGCTGGCTACGGCCAGCACATCATCCACATTTTCTGGGCTCAGGCTCAGCTTGGCTGTGTACATGAACTCCAGAACCTGACCCAAGCCTGCTGAGGACAGCATGGCCGTCACAGACCCACCTCAGGGGCCCTCCGCTCAATGGCAGGGTCAAAGGGTTCTAGAAAGCTGAGTGGCAGGCCTCCACCAGTGTTGCTAACCCCTCCTAGCCATACCACCTGTCCCCCCTTCCCACCTTAGCAACCCAACACTGCGCTTCACTGGACAATGCTCCAACCCACCACCAGCTTCCTCAGACTCTGCCACCACCTCTACTTGACCTTCTCACAGTGTTTCTCATCGTTCTAGGCTGGAGCCCCGATCCAGGACCAGCCCAATCCTTCCTCAATTGCCAGGTCAGCCCCAGCCCAGGCTGCCCTGTCATAGCCACCTGTCACCACCCCTGGTTAGCCCGCAATAGCGGCTCCAGGGCTGCTAATTGGGCCAGCCCATTCTGTCTTCCTGCTGAGACCTGTGCCCTGTTAGCTGTGGCCTAGAGCTTACCATGAGCCCAGCTGCCAGTTCTCCTCTTACCACTCCATTCCCAGTTAAACCAAAAGATGGCAGGAACTTGGTACCCACAGGCTCAGAGCCTGAGGCTTGTGTGCGAGGCCTGTAGATGCTGCCCCCAGAGGGCCTTGCACATCCCAGGCCAGCTACAGCTTCTGGCCTCCACAATTTTTCCCTGGCCCCGACGGGGTACCTGCCGCGTTACTGATGTCTAGGTGTACCACGTCCTTCTGGTCCACGAAGAGCATCTTGAAGTACTCGCTGCAGGCTGCCAGCACTGCTTTGTGGGCCTTAAAGTCAACACCATCCACCACGAAGGTGCAGTCACACAGAAGCCCCAGCTGCCGCTGCTGGTTCAGCTGCTCCAGGACGTACTGGCTGTGCTGAGGGAAGTCCATGGCTGTAAGAGCCACAGCGCCTCTATGAGCATGGGACAGGCACCTGCTGACCCATCTGCTAACCCCAGTCCCCAGGTGACACACACAGGGGAGGGGGGAGAATGAAACAAAGGAAGGGCATTTCCACCAAGGGAGGAGCATTTCCACCAAGAACTACCAATAGCTGCAGCAAGCCAACATGAAACAATGGCTCTTAGAATCCTTGGGTTACTGAACAGAGGAAGTTCCCCAAATCAAAAAGTACCGAGGGAGCTAGGTGCCAGTGTCTCACACCTGTACTCCTAGCCACTCAGGAGGCTGAGATCTGAGGATCATGGTTTGAAGGCAATCTGGGCAGGAAAATCTCTAAGACTCATCGCCAGTTAATTACCATAAAGCTGGAAATAGAACTGTGACTCAAGTGGTAAAATATTAGCTTTGAGCAAAAAACTCAGGGACAGTGTCCAAGCCCTGAGTTCAAGCCTCAGGATGAGTACACACGTACATGTACACGTACATACACGTACACACACACACACACACACACACACACTCTCTCTCTCTCTCTCTCTGAGGGACCAACATAACAATAGCCACTATTGTATCTTGCCAGGTAATGTGATGTTAAAGAGTCAAAAGAGCAAAGAGGCAAAAACAAAACAATACTGTCATTTCAACAGAGAAAACACAGGGTCGGGCTGGGAAGGTGGCTCAATGGTACAGCACTTGCCTCACATGCATGAGGCCCTGGGTTTGATTCCTCAGCACATAATCAGAAAAAGCTAGAAGTGGCTCTGTGGCTCAAGTGATAGAGTGCTAGCCTTGAGCTGAAGAGCTGAGGGACAGCTCCCAGGCCCAGAGTTCAAGCCCCACAACTGACAAAAAGAAAAAAAGCAAAAGAAAACACAGGGTCAGTTTGACAGTTTTCAAAAAGAACCTAACATATAATCTTTTTTTTTTTGGTTGGTTATGGGGCATGGGGCTTGAACTCTGGGAATGGGTGCTGTCTCTGAACTCTTCAAGGCTAGCAGCAGTCTACACTTGAGCCACAGAGCCACTTCTGATTTTCTGGTGGTTAATTGGAGATAAAAGTCTCACGGACTTTCCTGGCTGGGCTGGCTTAGAACTGTGATCCTCAGATCTCAGCCTTCTGAGTAGCTAGGATTACAGGCATAAGCCACTGGTGCCCAACTTTACCATATAATCTTAATAATAAAGGGCAAATGTAACAATGGATACACTTAGCTTTCAGCTGACCTATTTTGGTTGTTTTTCTCATTCTTTCATGGACAAGTGACAGATCTGTTCAGGAAGGTGGCAATGTGGCTCTTGGATCACCAGATCATTCTGAACAGTCCCTGACCCATGGCCCCCATGGCCCTGTGCAAATTCCTGTGTCCAAAGAAAGCAAGACCATGAGATAAGGATTTTTTTTTTTTTTTGGTCAGTCATGGGGCTTGAACTCTGGGCCTGGGTGCTGTCCCTGAGCTCTTCAGCTCAAGGCAAGTGCTCTACCACTAGAGCCACAGCACCACTTCCGGTTTTCTGGTGGTATATTGGAAATAAGAGTCTCATGGAGTTTCCTGCCCAGGCTGGCTTTGAACTGCGATCCTCAGATCTCAGCCTCCTGAGCGGCTAGGATTACAGGCATGAGCCCCCTCCCCTCCCCCGGCTGAGATAAGGATCTTTCTCTCAGGGGCTCAGAGAATGGCATAAAGCTGGGGAACGCTCTGTCTCCAGAAACTTCTGATCTGGTGAATCTGCCAGGAGGCCCAGCAACTCCAATCCTGATCCCAAGAGCTACTGGCCTGGCAGCTTCTCTGCCAAGCTCCTCACCTAAGGCCTGGACATCCCAAACTGTTGAGCATGCTCAGAAGAGTCCCCATGCTGAATTAGGAGCTATAGAGACCATGACCATAAGTATCTAGAGCAGCAGTCCTGCCCTCGCAGCACCTCTGCAATCTGTCTCAAGATGGGCAGGAAACAAGTTCCTTTCCTTCTAGAAAGAATCAACTCTGGAATGTTTCAAAATAAAAGCCAGTACCCATTGCCTGAGAACACACTACCAAGCAGAGGGGCAGCTATGGCACCTGAACCAGGGTCTGTGCAGTGGAGGGGCTTCTCTACCAGCAGCTCCTGGCCAGGTGTGAACCTCTCCTCTGCAGACAGCTCTGCCACAGCTGCCCTGGGCTGCTCCTGGACAGGGGAGAGGGACACTGTAGGATGTTCTGTCACAGGTGGCTGCAGCCCAGGCTGCTCCAGCTCCATCAGCTGGCCAGGATGAGTTACTGGCCTGTGCCCGAAGCTACCGTGAGCATATGGCTGGCTAGGGTGAGCGGGTGGGAGTCATGCCCTCATGTCAGCACAGGCCAGCTCTGCAGGCCTTCTCCTTGTGGTGCACTTTTCAAAAGTGGAGGTCAGCACCAGTAATTTTAGCACTTGGAAAGTAGAAGAAAGAGAGCTTGAAACCTCTGTCTAACCACCCCCTCCCAAGATGGCAACCACCAAGACACCCAGCCCTGTTGGCACAGTCCTCTGTGCCCAGTAGATGTTCCATCTTATTTAGTTATTGCAGTGCTAGGGATCAAATCCAGGGCCTCATGAATGCTAGCTAAGCATTCAATCACTGAACTACCTCCTCAGCTCTACTACCTGTAAAAATCAAGTTCTCTCTATTAGATAAACTCAGCTCCTTCTAACACTCTAGATTCTGATAATTATCTTCTAGTGGATAGTGCCCACCCTGCCTTGGGAGCCTCTACCTCCTACGCAATCCTGCCGACTCAGAGCTGGTAGAAACTTTTTCAGTTGTCTGCAGCTTTTATAAAAAGAAGGTTCCCTTCCTCCCTCCCTTCTTTCTTTCTTGTTTGGCATTTTTTAGACGGGTCTTGCTATTTAGGCCCAACTGACTTCAAACTCAAGATGATCCTGCCCTCACTTCCTCAGGGTTGGAATTGTTAGTGTGTACAACCACACCTGGTTCCGGAGGCTCATGAAGATCATTGAGAGTAAAATAAGAGCTTCCCTTTTGAAAGGCAAAACTGGAACACGAGGTACATAAGCATAGCCGAGTATTTTCCACTTCCCCCAGGCTGAAGTTAGTGTGTTGCCTCGTCTTCCTACCAGTGTAGTAAGTGCACTGTCAGGAGGAAGTACTTCTAAGTCTCCCTTGCAGGTATTATAAACCCAAGAATCAATTCTGTGTGTTTGGGGGAGGGGGCAGGTGGGTGGTAATACTAGTACTAGGGCTTGTGCTCTTGCTTGGCTTTTCTTTCCCACTCAAGGCTGGCACTCCACTTGAGCCACACTGCCACTTCTGTCTTTTTGGTGGTTCATCAGAGATAAAGAGACTCTTGGGTTTATCTGCTCAAGATGGCTTTAAACCATGGCCCTCAGATCTCAGCCTTCTGAGTAGCTAGGACTATAGGCATGAGCCACCAGTGCCCAGCAGGACTCTATTCTTGAGTAGTTACAGATCAAGAGGTAGAGACCTTGGTGTTTTTTTTGCCAGTCATGGGGCCTGAACTCTGGGCCTGGGTGCTGTCCCTCAGCTCTTCAGCTCAAGGCTAGCGCTCTACCACTTGAGCCACATCGCCATTTCCGCTTTTTCTGCTTATGTGGTACTGAGGAATCGAACCCAGGGCCTCATGCATGCAAGGCAAGCACTCTACCACTGAAGCCACCTTCCCAGCCCCAGATCTTGGTCTTTTTGAGTATGACTAACTTGATGTCAAAATATTCCCTTGATCCTTATGAAATGATAGCTTTACTTGTGATATTTTTTTTTTTGGGTCCGGTTGTGGGGCGTGAACTCTGGGCCTGGGCACTGTCCCTCAGCTCTTCAGCTCAAGGCTAGTGCTCTACCACTTGAGCCACAGCGCCACTTCCAGCTTTTTTTTCTTTTTGCTTATGTGGTGCTGAGGAATCAAACCCAGGGCCTCAGGCATGCAAGGCAAGCACTCTACCACTGAGCCACCTTCCCAGCCCTTTACTTGTGATATTTAAATGAGCAAATAATAGACAAAAGTCACTCAGAAATGAATTTCTGTTCTATTAATCACACCATCTGTATATGCTATATATGCTATATTTGAATGTCTGTGCATTCCAAAACTCATGTGGAAATTTAATTGCCAATGTAACAATATGAAGAGACAGGACCTTGCTGGGTATGGAGGTACATGCCTGTTATCCCAGTACTCAGGAACCTAAGTCAGGAGGATCACAAGTTCAAGGCTAACTTGGACTACATAGGAAGACCTTGCCCCAAAAAGTGGTGGGGGTGGGAGAGGGGAAGAGGTGGGAACCTGCAAAGGATTAGCTCTTGCACATAGCAAGATGGGAGAGGGCTCCTGAAAGAAAGATGGAGTTCAGTACCCCATGCTGTCTTGCTCTTCTGATTTCTGTCATGCAGGGACATGACATAAAGTCCCTCACTGGATGCCAACACTTTGATGTTGAATCTACCAGCCTCCAGAATTATGAGGAATTATTTTTCTTTATAAATTACCCACTTTATGGTATTCTGTTATAGCAACACACACACAAAAAAACAGGCCGAAAAACCCCCCCAAACCTCAGAACAATATGCATTTGAGAAATGATTCCATGCACATATGTGGGAAATTTCCCAGGTACAGAGAAGAACAGCAGGGTGATACAGCTACACAAGTTATTGTACTGCCCTCTGTAGTTCCACAGCCCATAAATTTTCAAGTACAAAGACCAGTGATTTCACAAGCAGTTCATGAGTGCCTCCACGTGTGTGTCTGAGGTACTGCATCGGAGCTGGGAGCTGGGAGCTGGGGAAAGACAGGTCCTAAATCAATATAATAAATGTTGTCAGGTATTAGGTACTGTGGAAGCAGAGGTGAGGCTATTTAATAATCAAAGAAAGGAATGCGGAGAACTTCTCTGAGGAGGTTGCCTTAAGCAAGACCTGAATGAAGTGCCAGAGTGAGCCATGACACTGTTAAGCCCAGGGACCATTATGGACACAAAAAGAGCCTGCCCTTGGCAGTCT